AATTCTTTTGGAGTAGGGTATAAAAATAAATTAAGATCATGAAGAATTAGTTAAGAAAAAATAACTTTTAACAAAATAGAACCTCGAGTAACTGGTGGAGAGATAGTTTTAGCTAAGAACGCTAGAATGCAAGTAAGAATTTACGAATTGCAACAAAGAATTATTGCTTTGAATACTGATAGAAACGAATTGATTCGTGAAAACACGCTTTTAAGAAATAGAAATGAGGAACTTGTAACTGAAAAGAATCAATTTGAAACTAATAATATTTAGATTCGTATAGCAAATGAAAATTTAACGTAATTAAACAATACATTAAGAATTGTTTTGAGAGATGCGGAAGATAAAAAAGAGCATTATAAAGCTGCCAATATCAAAGAGTTTGAAGATTTTATTTCAAATTATATTTTTGGCTTGTTTAATAATATTGGAACATTGTTTCGATTCAATAATCAAAATATTGTAAATTTTTTAAGACTTTATAATTTCTTCCAGATTCCAATTGTTTTTTACTATATTAAGATAATTTACAGAAAGTTTTTGTGGCCAATTTTTGTTATCCCTTATGTGAATCTTACAGAAATGAAAAGGATTCGTGTAGTTGAAGTGTTATTTGTAAACATTGTTACAGTTTATTTTGGACTATATTTACTTTTTTTTTGTATTTTCAAAATTTGACAGAGAGTGTATTATATTTATATTATAAATAATAATTATAATTTATTGAATGTATAAATAACCCAAAGTTAAAGTAATTAAAAGCAATAAAATATAACTAAAAAGTTACTGGATATCAAATTTGTTTATATGTATTAAAAATGTATGTCTGTTCGCATCTGAATCAATTATATTTATTTCTTAAACAGAAATTATAAATGAATAAAATATATTTAATCTTTGTTCATTGATTGAAGTTTTTGAATTTCTCTGACCAGTTTGACATTTTAGTTGATAAAAATAATAAACCTGAAGAACGAAAAAGCACAGAGCATCGTTCAAGGATAAAATAAAGAGGGTAAAGTAAGAGTTAGTATAACAAGCGAAATTATATTTCAGACATATATACGAGTTGGGATCCTCCTCTTATCTGAATAAATTAGTTAACTATAAAATTAATTTTAAGTTTGTTTGTCGAATCCTGTAGTTTTTTTTGATGTTTTTGTATTTGACAGTATTTGTTATGTCTTTCAACTTGGCCTCGTATTGTTTTTTGTATTCGATTGCACAATTGAGAACAGATTCGTCTTTATGATTTCTATAAAATTGACATTTGTGAATTTGTTTATTTTGATATCTGGCATATACCCAAGCTCTTAATGTTGTATCATAGTATATATTTTCAAAACCAGATATGTTTGTTTTTTT